GGTCACTGCTTGGCTGACCACACAACTTCTAGACCTCATCTCCCTCACTTGCAGAACAAGGAAGGGGGTTTGTATCTTCCAGCCCAAAGGTTCTGTCACTCTGATATAAGATTAGTCTTACTGCAGATGGACATTGCTTCTTCTGTCAATTTTAGAAAGAAAGAAAATTTGGGCCATTGTAGTATCTCCTCTCCTCTTCTGACAAACCCTTTCAGTACATCTAAGTGTGTGACAAATACGCATACTTATGCATTATATTTATAAGTGATTTACAAATAACAAAATAGAATTTCTACCACTTTTCATTGCTTTCTCTCACCTTGGATATTTTTCAAATCAGCACACCAAAACTCACGTTTTTCTTTCTAAGTTAATAACAAAAAAGCTTATCTGTACATTTCCATTCATGCATTCTCTGGTCTTTCCATTGGTGATTTGTTTAGTTTGAGATTGGCCTTTCATACTGGTCTTCCCCACTGAAGTTGAAGGCAGTGTTATTAACACTAGCAAAGTTTGGCCCTTGTAAAATGATTTTAGATATGAACCAGTTTTTTATTGTGTTCATTGCTTCACATGAATTGTTTTGAGGGAAAAGTAACAGTGACATTACACAGTGGAATATAGTGACAGTGATAGAAAGATCATCAAACTGAGACCTAGAAATCAGAATAGTGATCATTTACCGGGTACAGGCCCTGTTTCTGAAGCATTTTATATTTATTCAATTACTTACTTCGCACTACCATTTTGTAGATGACACACAGGAAAGTTAAGGGATTTGCCCAAGTTCACAATGTAAGAAGCCAGGATTCAAAGTCAGGCCCACCCTGGCTTCAGAGTGTGCACCTGAAGCCCCTAGGCCATGGCTTGGTCAGGAGATAGAGGTCATGACTAGCTTCTTAACATTTCCTGCAGCTTGTCTAGGTTCTCTGCACCCTGTTTTCAACTTATTATTAGCAGGATAATGTCTATGCAACTTTTCTCATGAGAAAGAATTGAAGTAATAGTGGGAGTTTTCAAAAAGTGAAATAATAATAGGTATTTATTGTACTTATTTATTATCATTGTTTATACTTTGATAAAGTTTTCATATTATTTTGAATTTACTTGATATTCAGTAAAAACATTTTTAAAGTGTTTATAAAAATTGGATTTGATTTCCCATCAGACTATACATTTCAACAGGATATTAATGAAGCAACAAAACTCTTTATGAAAATATATGCTATTCAGTATAATAGAGGATACAAATTAAAGAGTCTGAAATCATCCTGAAGAGAATTGTTTCAAAATTCAGACTTAGCCTGAAAAATAATCTATCATGGGTCTGTACTCAAAAACCAATTTATAAATGTGAAGACAGCATAGAAAGGAGAAGCAAGGAAACACCAGACAGAAAAAAAATTAAGACAATTACAATGATGGGTATTATACTTCACAGCTATCTCAGTGCATTGACGTTCTTCACCGAAGACATGTCATTTTTATAGGCTCCCAACTTGGAAGTCATGTAGCACTTGGTACGTAGCTCAGCTTATTAGAAGTGCGGGGCATCACATTTAAGTTTTCCTTTAACCTTTCTGCTACTTAATTTAAAATAAATAAAATCACAGTGTTAAAGGTGAGACAATAAGATAAAAAGCTTCCTGTGGACGATTTTTTTCCCTTCTCTCTTCACAGGGCAAAGCAGACAAGTTGATGTGGATTAATGCTTACGTTTCTCAGCCAAGGGGGCCATGAATTAGAGTAGATCTACAGAAAGACAGAACCGGCCACCTCACCAGAACTCCTCTTCCCATCTCAATTTTTCTTTTTTTTCCCAAAAGAGAATTCTGAGGCATCTATATCAGCTTCTGTTGATGTATCTCTAGCAAAGCGTTGTTTCCCTGAGGTTATGAAAGAGTTCTGTAAGGCAAAGAAGTTTGGGGAATTTAAAAATGACATGAATTCTTGACAAATGGAAAATGATTGTATCAAAAGTGTGAGTGGCTGAGCTGAGAGAAGATGAGGTTTCCTGGAGTTTATGTCCAATGCACATCTTGGAGGCATGTCAACACTACTTCCCCCAGCTTTGTTTATGAAGCATTTTAACACTTTTCAGACTACACAGTGCAAAAGCAGCTGCTTTGTGAATTAAATTTTAGAGGAAGATGAGAAAGCTCTATGGAGCCAGGCAACATATAAAATGGTTTATTTGGAAAACACAGACAAATATCACAATAAAAGTAGAAATGGTAAAAGACAATCTGTTTCCCCCTAGGGCTATTGTTTCACTTGTGGACCCTTCGAATTCCCAAGTTCCCAGTTGTTTTCTTTACTGAGATTAGAGATCCATCATTAACCTATTGGTGTATTGAGAAAAAAGGCCTTTCAGCTAAAATGACTCTGGGCTAGAAATCTCTGTTTTTTGCCATATTGAAAGAGTCCTACTCTACTATGAGACTCTGAGTGCTTGGTAATGAGGAAAGACATTATTAGGTTAACTAAATCAAATTATAGTCAACCCTCTGTATTCGTGAGTCTTGCATCTATAGAGTCAGCCAACCACCAGATAGAAAATGTCTGATAAAAAAATAAATAAATAAAAAATAACACTGCAACAAAAATAATACAAATAAAAACCTAATGTAGTACAACTATTTACATGTCATTTATATTTCTTTTGATATTACAAGTAATCTCAAGATCATTTAAATTATACAAAAGGATGTGTATAGGTTACATGCAAATACTACATTACACTATATCAGAGACTTGAACATCTGTGGATTTTGGTATCCACAGGGGTCCTCGAACCAGTCCTCCATGGATACCAAGGGACATTTCTATTGCTTAGAAATTGATTAATTATTACAGATTTGTCTTGGTTTTTAAAATGCCTTTGACTTTCAAGTTATACCTCATTTATATTTATTTGTTTATTTTTTTGGAAGAGAGCAATGGTAGTGGGACAGGAAGACACTCTTGTTTTTGGAATTGTGATCATGCATTCTTATTCTATAGCCTGTTAAAACAAGATTGAAGGGCAGCATTGATCTCAGTAATTCCAGATAATTTCCATTTATTTTCTTTCCTAAAAGAGTTGAATTGTATTAAACTTAGGCAGGTACCAGGTTTACATGACCAAACACAATAGATTATAAAGTGACCCTTCAAATGAGCTCCCTCTGTGGCATTCTAATAGCCCGCTACCCCCATACTGACATATCTGAACATGGGGCCACCGCAATAACCCGTGATCCCTGTAGGACCATTATCTAAAGTTTGTGTTTGGTACATCACAGTCCATAATACTGTGTGGTAGAACTGCTTTTATTCCCTATACTTTACTACACTTTAATTTTAAAGAAAGAAACTAACACTGAGGTTTGGGATCACTTGTACCCCCACCCTCCAACACCATAATATTTTATAAATCCAGCTATAACTTTAATTACAAGGTCTACTTTTTTGACAAAAAAATCAACTACTTTTTATCTGTATATAACATGCTTTCCCCTTCCTTCCCGTGCCATCCAATCTTGAAGATTTTATTTTTTTAGAGACATAGTCTCACTTTGTCCCCCTCGGTAGAAAGCTGTGGGGTCATAGTTCACAGCAACCTCCAACTTCTGGTTTATGCAATTCTCTTGCCTCAGCCTCCGGAATAGCTGGGACTGCAGGTGCCCGCCACAACACCCGGCTATTTTTTTGTTGCAGTTTGGCTGGGGCTGGGTTCAAACCTGCCACCCTTGGTACATGGGGCTGGCCCCCTACTCACTGAGCCACAGGCACCACCCCAATCTTTCAGGTTTTTTACCTGCAGTTTGTGCCGGGTGGTCAGCTTTCTGCCAGGACTCTGTTTATTCACCCTGCCATTTCACTTAGTGAGTCCTTGAGAACAGTTGTTGAAGCAACGGCCAGTTGTTCAAAGGTTCTATGGAGAGTAATTTACTTTGTTCTTGAACTTCTATAAAGATATACTTCATTGTGAATTAAGCCTTTTTAGTGACAGAGTAGATGATGACAGAACCCTGTCAGCCTTATCAGGAGAAGTTCCCTGACCTCATTATTGCTAATGGATCCACGGTAATTCAGCCTATTGTGAAATCTCATATTCAGTTATGCAGGATAATGAGTGACTCAAAACTTAACATGTCTCAGCTATCGTCCTTATGATAGGAATTGTACAGCCTCTTTCAAAAGAGAAACAAGGTTTTAAGTAGAGTGGTTCACTTTTATGTCCAAACAAAAGTTATCACCAATATTCAGACTGACCTGATTTTAAATATCTGATTTTCAAATATGACAGAAATGCTCTTTAACTTTATATTTCACTCTCCTTTTGTAGGAAAGTTAGGACAGGTTTATTCATTTTTAAGTGTTAATTCTGGAATTCTAAAAGTATGCAAATGGCATTTGTCTTTAGATTCACAAAAACTCTAGATATTCAGAGTTTGAATTATTTAAACTCCCACAACACATGCACTTTTGCTTTTCAAGCATGAGTTATAATTTAATTAAAAACTTCTGGTGCATTGCTAGCATTTTAAATATTAATATGTTCCATGGATCACTTTCGATTATCTACTGTCTTGAAATTCTTGAAGATGTCAGATTTTTAAGATTCCCAAAGTTGCACTTGGAATTGTCTGTTGAGGCAAAGGGGACTGTGATAATTACACACATCCATTAGGATCAGCAGAGGAGATAAACTTTGGGGAGGCTTAATGGGCATGTCTCAGTGACAGCTAGCAAAGAGCATTTGGCATGATTAAGGATGGATTTGAATGCAGTTGAAAATAGACTCTCATTATGGACACCCAGTGGAAGTTGCACTACAAATGTTAAATTCCCCAGAAGAAGAGTGGTGTGGCAGGGAAGCTTTGAAATCCACTGTGGCCATCATCCAAATTATTCTCTTTCCTTTATGTCTTTCTGCTGTCAGAATCACTTTGTGATGCCCAATTCAACTCCCTACATCTCTGAAAAGAGGCAACCTGTTGATCTCTGCGTTTCAGATTGTCCGGAGGTACATCAAGGATTGGCTGGAAAGAAAGAAGCCTCCTTTTGGCGCCGTCAGCAGCAGTGTGCTCCTCATGATCATCTACACAACCTTCTGTGACACCTTCTCTAACCCAAACATTGACCTGGACAAGTTCAGCCTTGTTGTCATCCTGTTCATAAGTAAGTTGGAAATGGGCTATCCTGGCCATCCCTCAGCCTCCTCCATGGTGGAGTGCAGCAAGCTGTGTTCTCCAGATTCATTTCTAATGCTAATTTGAGTAAAAATAAATACTCAGTTTCACATTATAATTACTCAGAGACTTTATTATATGTTTTTATTCTGTTAAACATCAGGTATACACTGAAGATCTTCATCTCCTTTGTTTTTTGTGTCTGATCCACTATATTGTGACTTACAATAGTGGAAATCAGATGAGGGAAGCCTTAATATCTGTCAAATGTACATGTTAGATTGAACCTTTGTCATCAATTTAGTTTTTTGTAACTTTGAATTGATCCCACCCCTTACTGTGACTTAAAAACAGAATTTTTAATATGTAATACTATTATTTTGTATGTATAATAATTTGGCTGCATTGGTTAAACAGTGAATACGTACACATATTTTCTAATAAAATACACCCAAAGCAGTATCATATCATTTTGAGAAGGAGCAGAGTATCAACTTCAGGTAACTGCAAAGGTTCAACATGTAACCTTTATTCTTTTTATCCTATAATACCAAAGACAACTTTTGTTAATTTTGTAATATCAAAGAATCTTTTGCTATTAAAGCCAAGATGAGTTATTTCAAAGTATATATCCTAGGCTACCACATTTGTGTTATTTGCTATAAATACTCATAATATCACCCAGGTCTATCTGAATTGACCAAATTAACCATTTCTTAAGTCAAAGAGGATTCTAGATTTTTTCTGAGTAGTAGATATCAAAGATTGTCTTTGGGGATATCATCAGTAGGAACAGGGTGAGTCCTATGAATTTAAATGATGCTATCAGCTTGGCAATGTCCGTTTGTTGGGTTTGTTCGTTTGTTTTTCTTTTTGAGTTCCTTAAGTTTCAGATAAAATTAAACATGCCAGTAAATATGATACCGACAATGCTTTTAAAATGCTAATTTAGATTCAATCTTTTTTTCTTCAGTATTTTCTATTCAGCTGAGCTTTATGCTTTTAACCTTCATCTTTTCAACAAGGTAAGTGATTTTGTATCTCTTGTTGTTAGTTTCTTAAAAAAGGAATCGTGCCCCTACTTGGCTACTGTGCTACTATGCTTTCTTTTCTTCTGTCTCCCTGACCATTCTTTCTCCCTCTTGCCACCCTCAAATTGTAGACATTACAAAGGATCCGTCCTCGGTCCTTATCTCATCTGTGCACATAATGAACTTGGGCAGCCCCCTCCATTCCACTGGCTGGAGCTGTTAGCTTGACACTGATGATTTTCAGTGTCTAGACCTTCCATTCCAATGTTTTGCCTGAGCGCCAGCCTTATTTTTCACCTGTCATGAAAATATCTTCACCTGACTGTCATAAACAGGACTTCAGACTCAAGGTGTTCAAAATAGGTTAATCTCCCCCCCCCCAAATTCCTCTTTCTCTCTCATTTCTTCACTTATTTTTAGTGGAACTGCCATCCTCAGAGGTACTCAAACTGGAATCCTTCACTTCATACCTCTAGTAACTAAAAGTTCAGATAATGACTCTTTGGGCAAATATCTTCAGTGGTCATTTAGTGCCTATAGAACAAAGTTCATTTTAGAGGGCAAGGCCCTCCAGTGTATTTTCCAGTGTCATGAGCCACCACTACTAGAATTCATGCTGCATCTAAGCTTTAGACTGAGGTAAAACCTTTGCTGTTCCCTGGAAGAACCTTATACTTTCTCCTTTCTATCCTTGGCTTAGGCTATCCCCATGTCCAAATTGGTCTCCATGTGTTAGTTTAGCTTTCTTGTTCTTAAAGGATCACCTCAAATCTAGTTTCTTCTACCTCGATTATATATTTGGAAAATATTCTTAAACCTTTGGTGTGAGCATATTTCTCTCAGGGTGTGAGAAATTTACCATAGTGAATACCACACTTAAGACCCGATTCCAATCCTGCAGGAGTTTATAGAGTAGCACACGCACTGATAGTGAAGTGTTCTCTGAGTGGACAGTAAGCCAGCCTATAGTCAATTCGAAGAAGAAAGCACTTTCTGAAGAGGGTGGTAGAGCAAGGCCTCAGGAAGAGATGGAGTTTGACATGAACCGCAACTAATGGCCAGCTGATCATTGATGCCAAAAAGGGGTTCTTGCTGGGACAAGAAGCAGTAATGGAAACATGGACACACACATGAAAAAAATAAAGCATGGTGAGACAGTTAGGAGTAGAGGAAGATTAAAAATAATAACAATAAGTGGAAAGGTAGACTTCAGCCAGATCACTGGGTCTCAAACACCAGGTGATAGCAGTGAGTGACCACAGGGAATGTGGCTAGGCTGTTTATAAGGCTGGAAGTCAGAGCAGTCAGTGGTTCAGGCCTCACATTAGGCACTTGGCTCTTACAGCATTTGGTATGGCAGTAGGTTGATTGTGAACAATCAATATTAACTTATTGATTGATGTAATTTAAAGCATTTTCCCAAGCTAGAGACTGTGATTTATGAAGTAAGAGTGAAGCCCGGAGCCATTAAGTCCAGAGAAAATGTGACTTAATTGGGTGAGTCTGAGAGTAGGAGCTGTTTTATAGTTCTTTTTGTAAATGGCTTGTTGTGTCACCTTAGAAAAGATGCCTGCCTTTCAGTGCCTTTTTGTTTGCTGGTCCTTATGGCAGACGTGGTTATGAGCTCCCCTCATCCTATCTAGACTAGGTAGGAGGCAGATATCCTGCTAGTGGCCAAAACACCCTTGAAAAGGAAGAGCATGAACAGCCACTACAGGGACAGCTTTGGGAAGCTGGGGCTGGGGAGAGGGTGGTGTCACAGCTAGATAACCTCCTAAAATTAAGAATATTCAACATGGAGTATACTGGGCTTTCATAAGGATGTGCAGTTTTGAGATCCTTCTTTTCTGGGTGTTCTGCCTTCACTGAAGTTCCATTGCATTTTGAACTTCCTCAACCTCCTGCACGTTCTTTGATAAAAAGTTAGAACATGGAATTGTTGCAATGGTGCTACAGATCAAAGGTTGTCAAGCCCCGAATGTTTCATTAAACTGTGGGAATTATTAAAATGAACAAAATTTGGAAGATGATTTTCATATTGTTTTCATGCTGGAAGACCCCATAGCTCTTGAGGATTTTATTGGAGGATTGAAAGATGCTGAAGTTTATTGAACTCTGCTCCACACCAGGCACTGTCCTAGGGGCAAATAAAGACCCATGCTTAGAGTAGTTTAGTTAGGTAACTTACCTAAATTCAGATTTTAGTAGCTTAGTAAATTAACCAAAATCAGGTGGCAAGCAGTATGCCTAGAATTGAAATCCATTTCCCTTGGACTTTTCTTTGCTCGTGACTTTCCCACTCTACTAAACTATTTCAATTGCTTTTTCTTTTTCTCTATTTCCCAAGCTAGAGTACAGTAATATCATCATCATCATCATCATTGCTCAGTGCAAACTCAACTCCTGAGCTCAAGCAATCCTCCAGCCTCAAGTAGCCGAGACTATAGGCACATGCCACAATTTTTTTTTTTCCTGTAGAGACTGGGTCTCACTCTTGCTCAGGCAGGTCTCAAACTGCTGGTCTTAATGATCCTCCCTCCTCAACCCTCCCAAAGTGCTAGAATTATAGGCATGAGCCACCGTGCCTGGTCTCAATTACTTTTTAGATTTATCATACTTGTTTTAGTTAGGGAATTTATCGAGTGTTTGAAGAAATTCTTCAAGTTTACACACAAATAAATAAATTAGCCAAAGATTCCAGGAGTTTAAATGAGGACCGACTAGTTTGCACTTTTTGAGTACCATTTGCATTGTCTGCTTTTTGTTCCTTCCCACTTAAAATTAGTGAAATTGCGTATGTATGTGCCTTTTCAGCATGGAGAGCAGCGTGTCCCATGCGTGCACACATGTGGGTGTGGGTGTATGTGTAGGTGTGTGTAGGTAGCTGCAGAGGCTACTGCACTCCTGAGGGAACTTCAGCAGAAAGCCCGGAGAGACCCAGCCCGGGAAATTCAGCTTTCCTATAACACTCTGCATAACTGGTCAGCATTTCTTAGATTTACTGACCTAATGTGTTACCATGCCAGTGACCATTTAAAACATAGTTGAGGGTGATTATTCTGTGTTCTCATTTGTCTGTCTACAGAATAAGGTCTAGGTGAAAAATTTCAATTCTGGAGTCAGACAGACTTGGGATCCAGTCCTATTTAATAGCTGTGTGCCCTTTGTCAATTTTCTTATGTACAAAATGAAGATAGTAATAATACCTATCTCACAAGATCATTTGGAAAATTAAATAATATGCGCCGAAAACCCTCAGCATAATGCCTGGCACACAGCAAGTGTTCAATAAATGTTAGCCACTGTAGACTATTTGTTATATCAAAATCCTTTATATTATATGAAAAACTAATGATAAAAGAAGGGGAATTAGCTTTGCTAGCTTTGTAATACATCATTTTTTACTTTTCTTTGTCACAGTTGCTAGGAAATGAGAGTTGATCCATCAAACTAAGACTCAGCTATCCATAGCAACCTCAGCTTTCTGCAACTTTGGGAAGCTGTCACAGGTTTTTTAGAAAAGTTAAAAAAGAAATAGAGCTGTAACGGGAATCTTAAAATGTATAAAAACCCAGTAGAACTTTCATAGTTGGCCACCTCCCTATATTGACTACCTCCTTCAGTTGACCTACTTTTCACAGACCGGACACGTGCCCATGTACACATCCGTACCGTGGACCTATGTTGACCACCTCTGCATGTTGACCAGTTTGTTACAGTCCTGTGGGTGGCCAACATACAGAGGTTCTACTACGTATAAAAGACGGTTTGGCAGGCTAATAACTCGAGTAACAGAAACCTAGATTGTCACTAGCGTGATAAAAGAAACTTAAAGGAAAAGGAAGAAAGCAAACATTTAAATATTTACATAGGTGTTTTAATCCTCATCAGTACATTTCCAGTTGGATGTCTCAGTAGGCCTCTCAGCACAGCTCCAGGAGAAAGAGGGCGGACTGCAGGGCGGCACAGGGAGAAGGGAGGCGAGGAAGTAAGGCAGACATTGTCATGAATTGTAAGTCTCCTTACCATTTCAGAGCTGAGGCAGCTAAGCCTTGGAGCTCTGGCTAACTTGTTTAGTGCCACATCGCTGTTGACGGACGAGGTCTTCTCTGAAAATGAGCAAAGACAAGAAGCACAGGGGCAGAGGTTAACAAAGGAAAGTGTTTCACGTGGACGTTTTCTCCTCTAAAAACAGTGGGCTGGAACTATCTCAAAGGAGCGTTTCTGCTGCACGTTCTGTGATTCCACTAGTAAAAGCTGACATGTTTTCCTTTGTGGGTACTGCAAAGGAAGGCAAAATAAATATTAGGTGGAAAACACTGATTGAAAGCTTTGAAAGAGAGAATAAAAAGACTGGTTGGGAAGAGAAGGAAATAAACTTCTCCGGGGAAGGCAAAGTGATCAAAAGAATCATTAAAAACAGGATAAAAAGAAGATCAATATTAAAAAGAGATAAGGTAGAGTTAGAAAATAAATAGTAATGTGATTCCTTTCAAGACTGTGCACAGACACAGTAGAGATATTAATCACTAAAAATAATGATAGTCATTACTGCTTGAGTATAATATGCAGGACACTTTGTTTTCTGTGTACTGTCATGACCTCGTGCCATGAAGCCTCCCTGGACAGAGTATGACTAAATGTTGGGTTGCTTACCAAGATAGCTGCTCTGACTCATTAAATTTTGTAGTTTTTTTTTTTTTAATATTTTCTTTCACAGAGGGCAGACTTTTGTCTACAATTTAGGACAGCCAGCTAGCTAGTTGTGTGACTTTAGAGAAGTTGTTTAACCTCTTTGTGCCTCAAGTTCACTTTTTGGACCAACCAGGACAATAGTACTATCGACCTTATAGGGCCATTCTGAGAAGGAAGTAATATTGGCTGCAAAGTACCCAGAAAAGTGTTCAGTGACGTTGACCGCCATGGTGATCATCACGGGTTAGGTGAGCGTCTGCTCTGTTCTCTGTCCCTGAGATCCATCATGTAGAGCATTCTGGTGCCATACAGCTAAAGTACAAGTCCACCCTACTGAGGGGGAATATTGTTATTAACCTTAACTATTCCATTTTTATGCCTTAACATTCTAATCCTCCCTTCCCCCTGATGGAGTTGGTAACATTAGGGCTATAAAGCAGTGTTCCAACTCAAACAAGCCAGAAATCTCCCAGTGTGGGACTAGCTTCAGTCTGCTCACCTGAAGCAGGACAAGTGAGTGTCAATAGCAAGTGCCCTGCTTAGCCACCCTGAGAATGCTGCTCTGACGGCCCGCGGCCTGCACTGCTGACAACCCTGGCAGCCAGCACTGCTCCAACCACCCACGGCCAGTGCTGCTCCGATGATCCGCGGCCAGCACTGCTCCGATGACTTGCGGCCAGCGCTGCTCTGATGACCCACTGCCAGTGCTGCTGACAACCCTGGCAGCCAGCACTGCTCTGACGATCCCCAGCCAGTGCTGCTCTGATGACCTGCGGCCTGCGAGGCTCTGACGGCCCACGGCCAGCACTGCTCTGATGACTGGCAGCCAGTGCCAGATAAAGTCAGTGCTCCTTGGCCAGGGAGAGCCCTGGACATTTTTGAAATGTCCTACGGTCTGGGAAGGAACAAGATACCAAGCAGAGCACAGCTCACTAAAGGAGAAGTATATTGCCAGCCCCTCTAGGAAGAAAACGAAACTGCATGAACACAGATGTAGCAACCACTGGTTATAGACAAGGGCAACAAAAGACTAAAAAGGTCTTTGAACCTGTACCGACACTGCATGCAGTGCTGGAAAAGTGCCAGACCAGGCCAGGTGGTAACCCTGCGTGTCCCACAGTCGCAGGCGGGTGCTCCCCCTGCACAAAAGTGTTTTCTTCCTTATGAATTGGCTACACGTCATATTCTCTGATCTGCCTACTTCAAGCTTTCCCAGTTTCTTTGGGAACTCTGCGTGGATGAGTGACGTGTCTCACCCTTTTTAAATAAGGGAATCTCTGCCTTAAGTTGCCTTTGCTTTCCCATTCTGTACCTGTAAATCTGGTTTTCGCTGACCCTTCCTACTGTTGCTTCCGGCTGAGAGAGGATAGGAAATGCCCCTCTCTGCCTCATTCCTTCAGTCTGGTCCTCTCAGTCATTCGTCTGCTGCATCTCCCCTCTTTCTCCGTAATCATGCTCGAATGACCCATGTCCCTTTTCTTCTCTTCACCAGGTTTCTTGGAAACACAGTCCTCATGACTGTGAATCCACCGTACTTCAAAAGCACTTGGTCTCCTCCCCAGGCCTCTTCGGGCCTTCTCTTCCATTTTCTGTTCCATTAATGCTTTAATGTTCCTCTCAGTCTACAGGATCAAAGTTTATAATTTCTCTTTAATTCCTCCTCCTCTCTCAAAGCAATAATAATAATAATAGCAACTAGTGTGTATTAAATACTGTGCCAAATTCTTAACAACCATTGATTTATCCTCACCATCACACGAAGAGACAGGCAGGATTATCCCCATTTAATATATAAGCAAAAGGATGGTCTGGATTTAAAATCAAGTGTGTTTGCCCCCAAAGCCTGTGCTCTTAAGCTGTTTGGATGGTGTATTACAGAGAAGTTAACAGTTGGCAAAATAATTCCATCTCCACATCTCTTGCCATCATCTTCTGTCCTCTCAGTGAATCTTCAGGTCCTTACGGCTCCCTGCTTCCTGCCTGGCCTCACCCTCTTCAGTATTATACCATACAGACTGATTATCCTCCTTCACAATGGGTCTGGTCATGTCAATCTACTGTCCCAAACTCTTCAGCAGTTCCCCTCCCAGCTTATCAAATCCATACTCCTGGTCACCAGCCAGCATCCCTGCATGTAACTCAGCCTGAAAGGTCTACTCTTAGCCCCCTGCCCTGCACTCCCATACTGCAGTCTCACTGTCCCCTACCTAAGACACACACCTGCATGTGCCAAAACCTATTCTTTAAGGTCCAGCTCAATTGTTATTTCCTCCAAGGAGATTCTCCTATGCTCCACTATCACCTCCCACTTTCCCCACCAAGTTAGAGGTGATCTTTTGCTGTCCACAGCACGTCACCTTTCTTTTTTGTCTTTCTCTCCTCTCTCAAATGCAGCAGAACCTCTGTAAGTTGACCACCTAAGGGACTGTAACAAACTGGTCAACACACAGAGGTGGTAGGCATAAGGAACTAGGCCTACTGTACTGATATGTACAGGTGGTGCATGTCCAGTCTGTGAAAATTAGGTCAACATCAGGAGGTGGTCAGGGAGGTGGTCAGCTGTGGGGTTCTACAGTGTATCTGTATTCCTTTCATCTCTCAGCCCAGGCATTTACAGACCCTCATAGAGCTCTTTCCCCTACCATAAGGAATAAAGGGACGAAGAAACATGTCAGCCATGTAGCACAATGTTTAAAACACAAAAGGGATATCACAGTGTAAATATAAGAATAAAATGTGGAAACAGTCAGGCAGTTTTATTCTCAAGTGAAACACATCAGGGGAGAATCATCACCTGAGGTGAAACACAAAAATTTCAGTGTGGAAAGTTGTTATCAAGAAAGAGCTGGAAATAAGGCTAGTTAGGAGGCAGGAACATACGTGCCTTTCAAAGAAGAGACCAAAGGGCCATTTATATGTTCTCCCGACACAAGCACAGGGAATGAAGAGGAGTCGAGGGCTCTTCTCCATCTAGAGAGTATAGAACAGAGACAAAAGGATGTGGATCTATTTAGGGAAGATGTTTCTCCTGGCAAAAGTTATGCATGGAGATGGCGGTTACTAAGGGAGATCACAGATCTCCTTCCTAAGAGATCTTTAAAATTGGGTCGATTGTTATTAATATATCTGCAACTGTACTGTGCAGTTTCTGGAATATTTTCCCATTTGCTAACTAAGTCTTCTGTCAGAATTCAGGGAAGGTACTGTCACTCTACTGTCAAACCCTGATTCCTGCAAAAAGAAATCATTTCCAAAATATGAAGGCACAATAACAATAATTATATTTCTAACCTTTTAGCCTAATGGTTCTCTAAATCTTTCTGATGTAAAATAGGAAATCCAATAATGATATCCAGCCCCAGTATTGACCCCCCTCCCCATAACAGGTAGTTAGTTTTGGCTAAGCTGGATTTTTTTGTTATGCTCAACGTATTATGTAACCGTAGTAGAACATAGTAGTTATAAGCATAGGCCTAGGAGCCAGACTATTTGAATCTTGGCTCTGTCACTTAAAAGCAGTGGGCTCTGAGTAAGTTACACAGTTCTGCGTTCCTTAGTTTTCTTATTTTCATGTAGGGGCATTGTGTTACTTACCTCTGGGGCTGTTGTCTTTACCTGTAAAGACCCAAGAGAAGTGCCTGATACACAGGTCCCTGCTCAAAAAGTAATAATTATGGTTTTTACCAAAACATATGATGTTCAATATTTTGTTCATACCAGGTATTTCTCAAAAGTGTGTGTTTGCTACCAAAAAGATGTGTTGCTCTTTGAAATAAGCATCTTTGGAGGTACGTGAGCTCCATCAAGCCTCTGGGTAGTTAAGTGATAACCTAGAGAATTAGCTAGAAGAGTTTTTGCTGCATCATTCTCCTAAAGTCCTGTGATCTTAGGAGACCTCCACCACATGTTTTTAAAACTGTTCTCCTTTTCATGGATAAATGACTCAGAAGTGATTCTCTAAAAAACAAAAAATTCAGACACTTCTGTACATTTGGAAGTAGAATTACTTCTGTCATCAGGACTGATCAAAGGGATGTTAACATGAAGGTAGGTACTGCATTTGATTTCAGATATGTTATACAGGCTTTTACAAAAGTATTTATAAAAACTTTTTCCCATCCTTAGGAATAATTCGGGCTTCACACCAGCAGACACAGTGGCTATCATTTTCTGTTCCACACACAAGTCCCTCACATTGGGTAAGTGATTCAGAGAGTTAAAAACCATACATTATCCTCATGTAGTTACTATCCGATGACTTTGAAACTCAAGGAACTCCTGTAAAGTAAATGGAATGGGGTACTGTCCACTCTGTTGGATGAAGAATAATCATGAAGTGAGGATGGGTTAGTATTTTGAAATACTGTTATTTGGTCAAATCAATCTCAAAAGGCCTAAATTTTACAGCTTAGAATTTAGCTTAATTTGTAATCATGTTTTCAGTTCTCCTGAAAGATTATCAATGTAGAATGTTAACATTAGAGCTTGGGTAGGGGCAGAGATGGGATAGGAGACTGCTTGTGAAAAAGGAATTGGCAAAACATTTGCTTTAAAAGGCTGTAGAGTTGTCCCTGGAAGATGTTAATGAAATGGGAGCTCAAAGCAAGGTAGGAATGTTGGTACTCTTTTTTTTTTTTTTTTTTATTGAATGGTAACTATGTACATTAATGCACTTCTGGGGTACAGTGTGGGGTTTTCACATGCAATCTGAAATACTTCCATCAACTGGTCAACATAGCCTTCATGTCATTTTCTCAGTTATTGCTTTAAAATGTTCACATTCTACTCTTAGAAAGATTCAACTGTACCCCTATAAGGTAAACCTCAGAAGTAATCCCTCCAAACCCCCTCCCTCCACCCATTCCCCCCTCCCTTCTCCCTCCCCCTCCCCATATTCTTAGGCTATTTGGTTATAGCTTTCATATAAAAAGGTTTAAATTAGTTTCATAATAGGGGTGTGTACATTGGATATTTTTTCCTCCATTCTTGTGATACTTTACTCAGAAGAACATTCTCCAGCTCCATCCATGTGAACATGAAGGATATAAAGTCTCCATCCTTCTTAATGGCTGCATAGTATTCACAAACTGTGGTATATGTACACCAAGGAATGTTGGTACTCTAATTTAATACTGACATTAGTTTGACGTTCATTTCCAAATGTTATGTTATTTCTCTAAAGAAACAGCATAATTGTTATTAACTCAATCAGATTATCACTAAAAGTGGAATAAGTATTTATTTTTCAGACAAAAAATGGAGTAAGGAGAAAAATGCTATTTTCTACTTAGCTTTACTTGATTTAGTGGCATTATCCCAATAACCTGTTAGACAGCCAGAATCTAGGGTCATTAAAAGTCATTGAGCACTTAGAAGCTTTACTGAAATATACATCATTCACAAACTGCTTGAGGTGGTGGACATGTTATGGCAGAACCTCGTATTAAAAATTCTTCCAGGTTTTTGTCATGCGACTCAAATTTGAGAGAATGCAGAGTTATAACATGGCTCTAAGCCTCCTTGTGTTAAAGAAATTCACTCTGTAAGCTAGATATGAAGGCATCTCAAGTGTGTTTTGGGGGTTTGTTTGGCCAGGGCCAGATTTGAACCTGCCACCTCCAGTATATGGGGCTGGTGCCCTCCTCCTTTGAGCCACAGGCACCACCCATGCACCTCAAATGTTTTTGCAAGTCCCAAGCATAGTAGTCTGACAGAGTCTATTATCACTCTTACCAGATTTGGAAAATGACTTAGAAATTGGACAAACTCTTAAGGAGCTAGACTCTAGAGCTTCAGCTTATTTGAATAAATTATGTATCTACCATCCAGATAGAAGTGTTTTTGGTTTTCTTGGTAATCATCATCAAACTGAAGTTGAAATAGCCTTGGAAGCCATATTCTAATCCTGATTTTGTGACCCCGGACAAATCAATGAACCTCCCTAAACCTTAGCTTTTTCATCTGTGAAATGGGCAGAATAACACTCACTTGGTTAGGTATCTAGCACAGCACTTGGTAGACCACAGGCAGCCAATACATGACAAAGTGTGCTCAGTAATTGTGCCATGAATAGATTACTGTGGACTAAATGCGATAGGCCATCTTTACAAGCTTGCTGTGCTACCCCGCACATAGTGGGTGCTCTGGAAGCTTAGCTACTACCATTCATTATTAATAACTATAATAACAGTTATACTGTGTTGCCACTCCCAGAGTTCCAGTCCCCAACCCCTGCCTTCTAGGTTTTCCTGTAACAAGTGTTTAGTGGCTGACCTCTAAGAAGTCATCATGTTCTTTCCCATGCGTGTTGTTGAGGTGTGATATCTGGTGTTCCCAGTCTTCTAAAAACTAAAGTACTTTTACAAAGTGAAGAAGTCCAGAGGTAGTTGCTGCCAGACTCCTCTGATGGGGAGTGCAGGGGTCAAATGCCCGCATCCCTTGTGTACATGCTGAACCACGGCTGCAACAAATACATGTCTACATATCTTCATTGGGCTTTTAAACCTGACCCAGGGATTTACTTTTGTATAAAAAACCAAAATGGATTTCGTTTGTTCTCTACAATGTTTTCCTGTGCCCGTTGAGCAAAGAGCAAGGCACGCACCCAAGAAGCATATTGCAATGCCATCAGTGTCCTGTTCTTTTCTATAAGCAAAATATCTGCGCATTCGATCTTTTTTTCTTATTTTATCTTTTCATTTTTCTTAATCCCAAAGCTATACTCTTCTTTTTTTTTTTTTTATACTTTCTGAAAGATGATTTTCAGGCCAGCATACGGGTAGTCTGATCTCATAGTTTTGCTAAAAAGGATTGGTTCGCTTGGATTTTTGTTTGCTTTTGCAGTGTTTACCCATGAAGTAAATACTTAGATCCTCTAATCAGATTCTGTATTAGTTTGGTTATCTAAGTAACCAGATAGTATAAATGCTTACTTTCTTTGATAGCATGACACACCTAAGCTCTCTTGGAATTATAAGACTTACCTAATCTATAAATATTCACCTTGGGTCCTATACTGATACTTCCCCAGGCCTCAGTGTCTGTGGCCCTAAGATTAGGTAATTTTACCTCCAACTCAAATATCTGTTATGCCTTGATCATACCTGGCTTCCTTCCTGCAGTCTCCTAGGTAGCATTTATACAAGTGGCCTCTTGGGTGCTTCCTTTATCTCAGAGAGATCGCCCTATTTCCACATATAGCAAGGGGATGTCTGGATGCTATTGTTCAAATGGCCTTGCTAGGCCCTATAAATTTACTGTATCCATTGTCACAAGATCCAACAGCGTGTTTCCCTCTACTGGTGGCCTGCCCTCACTGGTACAGAGGTTATGCCAGGACAGTGACCTGAGCTACAAGCTAATGATTCTCATAGAAATTTTTATCTGCATGGAAATGAAAGAACATCGCACAGAGTATGAAGAATTCATATGTAGAAAACAGAAGGAAATTTCAGCTAATATCACTCAGAGTTATGTCACTTCTCACACTAAAAAGAAATACAACATATTATGATATTCCTATTTGCACTTTAAAATATATATCTTTCCCATTGCAGTCACTATCATAATATTTCTTCTAATGATTTTACGTATATATAACATCTCAAATAGAATACGTTAAGTGAAACTTACAAAATGCCATTCATTCTTATATCCTGTATTTGTATTTAAGAGTAAATTATTGCAGGCTGAGTGGTAGCCATGTAACTAACAGACCACAGATAAAATCCCTTGCTCGAGAAGCTTTCTGAGTATTCTCTTGTATGTACACCTTCAATTTATTTTATTGTTCTTGTTTCTGCCCTCTCTCAATCTCTTCCATGTACTTGCATCCACACACAGGCTGAATTTGATTCATTGCTTTTATTAGTGCATTTGCCATTGATTGATTAGTTCTTCGTATTAGTACTTTTTCTATTGATTGATTGCAGATGAAGTGACTATTTGACCTTTAATTATGAGGCTTCCTATTGAAAATGACATTGAGCTATGGCTTCACATAATCCATCTGGAAAGCCTGACATGGTGCCATTCCCTGGAGTTCATTCAGGAAGAAAGAGGAGGCCTGAAGGAAGTGCAGAGCTATCACTGTGCTTCATCTAAAACAATACTACGGGGCTTGTTTGCTGCTCTCCTAGAGTTTGAGCTCAGGGTTGAGGTAATTTTATATTTTGTCAAGACAGCATCACTTGCTGTGGGTTGCCGTAAAAGCCATGAACTCTCCCAAATTATTATCTAGTTCGGTGGTGATTTGTGTAATAAGGAGAAGGTATTTTATATAGGGAAGATTGAAGAACAGCTTGTACCCTAGTAAATAATGGCTCCGTGCACAGCCAGTCAATAGATCTCATCAAGAAAGAAATTAGATCCAAGATATCCTGTGGAATTGGTATTTTACTTTTATTTATCTTTTTCTCTTGAGTATTCGAATCACTTTACTTATCTAGAGTTTCAATATACATAGAAAACTTTCTCACTATACACTAGCAAGTAAGTAAGTATTTCAGGACATTCGAGGTCCGTAAACAGATGTTTATATATGTTTTTAATGTTTTTAAATTTCAAAGTGAAAGCACATGATCTCAGAGCGTGTCAAATGACTATTGGCCGTCAATAGCGAGACTCCTCACTTTTTCTCATTTCCAAAAGTATTTCTGAATTGAATGAATGCTATTCAAGCTTTCAATAGACTGTCATGATCAGCGCTTATTACAGGCCTACGAAGTATCCTGCCTTTCACAGACACTGATGTACAAAAGCAAATCAAGGCAACCACTCCGCACTTCACTATAGGCCCAGGCACAGATGCACTATGACCTAAGGTATGAGAAACGACGCATTAAGCTAAAAGAATAAGCTTTTTAGTAGGCATCGGATTGTGCAAGGGTGGAAGGAGCACGTACCCGATTCTACTCTGGATTCAAGTTGGGGTTCTCTCACCAAAAGCTGGAACAAATTGTTCAACTGCCCGGGGTCTCCTTTCCTCATGTGTGCAATGAGAAGATGAACAAAAAATGATACTTGAGATTCTTCCTGTGAGTCTGTGACTGGTATTTCCGTTCAATGAAATAGTAACAGTTTCCTTATCATTATGTGCAAAGGAAAAGCTTTCGTGAAAGGAATAATTATGTAAATAATGTTACGAGTATTGCAAGAAAGGAAAGATAGCTGTTGCTTCTTTCTAGAGAGGGTAAAAAGT